AGAAGTAGTACTGAAATAGCACTGGTTGACACCTCTGTTGCGGAAATGCTCTGATTCAAGTGAAAACAGCTTCACCGTTGGGTGTGTGCAGCCACAGAAAAAAGACTTAATCTTTCTGCTGTTCTTCACTCCAGATGGACACTGTCCAGACAGCACTCTGCACAGCGTGACTGATGCTATCGACTACTGTTGAGACTTGGAGAAAGAAAGGATAGTTTGTTCTGTGTTTTGTGTGTAGTGAAGTAAGCGGAGTGCATATATGGCGAGCGGTCGGTTATATACGTTCTCCTGTGAGGGTTCGCGTGTATGGCGCGGCCATGTAATATGACTCACTCCTTGCCAATATAAACTTCTCTTTGGCTGGCTAAATGGAGAAGTATGCGGCTCCCCTGAAAAATAATCGCTGTCGTCCAAACTTTTGAGAGAGAGTGGACAAGATGAATTTTCACAGTTTTAGAGCACAGTTTTATAGAGAAAATGTCAAAGTGTCCTGAACTTTAAAAGAAATTGCTGATGCTAATTACCAAAATGCATTCATTAGTTATTAGCTTGAGAAGATGATTGTGTGAGAGATGATAATATCTTAATGTATTATCTAGAAGATGGTATTATGTGATCATGATTGAGCATTATTCATACTTTATTAAACTTTAAAATAATTATGTTCATAACTGCAACAATTAAATGTCAGGGTTTAATCTTTAAAAAGAGAAATAATTTATATTATTTAAAATATTAAACAATAAATATTATATTATTTAGATTATTTTTATACGAGGTTACATACAAAACATACTTGTAAAAAAAATTGTCTTCAGCTGTCTGTTCCTGTTTAAGTATCTAATTTTTTGATATCTCTTCGTGAATTTCTTCAGTTGTTTATTATTTTAAATATAAATTATCAGTTTTATTGATTAGTTGTTACATCCCAATACTTTTTACCCGATCATACTGTACTTCTCAAAATTTTGGAAACATTATGATTTTTAAGTGTTTTGAATGAAGTCTCTTATGCTCACCGAGGCTGCATTTATGTGCTCAAAAATACAGTAAAACACTGATATTGTTTGCAATTTAAAATAACTGTTTTTATTTGAATACATTTTAAAAATGTAATTTATTCCTGTTTTGTAAAGCAGAGTTCAGCATCATTACTCCAGTCTTCAGTGTCACACGATCCTTCAGAAATCAATCGTGCTACTTAATGTTTATGCAGAAACCATAATGTTTGTGGTGTGTGTGTTTATTCTTAATAGAAATTAATGTTTTTTTTTTCAGCAAATTTTAGAAACCATAATGTTTGTGGTGTGTATGTGTTTATTCTTAATAGAAATTAATGTTTTTTTTTTCAGCAAATTTGCTTTAAATTGATCAAGAGTGACAGTAAAAACAATTGTAATGTTACAAATAAATGCTGTTCTTTTGAATTTTGTTCATCAAAGAATCCTGAGAATCCAACTGTTTTTAACATTGATAATAATAAGAACCATTATTAATAACTGAACCCCAATAATAAATTAGCAGCAAATCATCAAATTAGAATGATTTCTAAAGGATCATGTAACATGTCGCCCATTAGTAAGGGATAGAAGTAAGCAATAAGGGAATAGAAGGGAAAAGGACCACCATTCACCTTTTACACAACAAATAATGATTTAGACGATGAATAATAACCATTCATGCAAGGGCTTTATCAAAAATGCGAGCCACACATTCCTGCTGTTGTTAAGCTCTCTGGTATGACAGCCACTTCCATTTCCATTGTGAGTCACATGAGTCAAATACATGTTCATACAAAGGGTTTGTATTATGGTAATGATAAAACCACAGTATGGGACTCACCATTAAATTCACATTTCAAACCATTTATGCTTTTTTATTCTCACTATTTTTCTTCTTTATTGTCATTCTATATTCATATCCATGCACTTCTCAACCGCACATTTATGTGCTTTTGAATGTTGGAATGAAGCTTTTTATAAATCATAGTGCTGTCTTTTTTAACATGTGGCTTGACATGAAAGCGAGTGATTAGATGGGGTTTAGAGACATGTTGAGACATAAAAACATGTTGTGTCCTGTATGAAGAAGACTGGAACGACTGCTAGATTGACAGGAATAATTATGTTTTGTCTAGGATGCAATGGTAGTTTGGCTGTCAATATTGAAAAAATACAGGCAGGATGAGATCATTTCCTAACTGTTGTTTGGTGAAGTGTGTCTCCTGTTTTTATAAGAGATGTTTTGCTTAAAGGGGTCATATGATGCTGCTAAAAAGAACATTATTTTGTGTATTTGGTGTAATGAAATGTGTTTATGCGGTTTAAAGTTCAAAAAACACATTATTTTCCCGTGAACATTTGGGCGGCGTTATGCAAATCTTCCCACATCGTGAGGTAGATATGTGGGGGCGTGTTAGAACGAGCCGTTTTAGGTAGGTGTGGCTGACAATTAACTTTTATAAAGAATATCTCTTTGGATTTGAGACTTTAGTCTTTGCAACTTTACAGATCTTCTTTATGCACCAAGAGCTTGTAACACTCCAAAGAGAAAGGAAAATTTGAAATCGCATCATATGACCCCTTTAATAAAGGCAGTTATACATGGCTGTATGGATGCGGTTTTACTCTGTCAAGACACGTGTTGTTTTAAACCAAACCTAGTATAAATGTATTGTTTATTGGTGTAATTAATTGAAATAAATCTGAAATAAAATACAACTAATAGATGAAAATCTTAAGCTTAAAAAACCTCAATTAAAAATGAGAAATGTTGCCTTGGCAACTAATTGAAATAAAATAAGTTTGAAGTATTAAAATGACTAAATTTTTACTAAACTTTTTACTAAATAAATAAAACTGAAATAAATATCAATTAAAGCTAATTAGAAATATTAAAATCCGCTAAGGAAAATGGCAAAAGCATATAACAAAGTTACTAAAATTTCAATTTTGAACTGAAAAATTATTTCGGAAAATAAAAAATAAAAGCAAATTCAAAATATCTATAAATACTGTACATAAATAATACGAAAATAACACCGTTCAAGACCAGAGTGGAATCAGTTATGGTGTCATTTACATCTCAACGGCCAAAAAAACAAAACAATTATAGTAATAATAATATTGTTAGATTATTATATTAAATTTGATAGATCTGTCGTCAGTTTCCTCCTGAGGTGTGAAGGCTATATTTAGACTAAATATGTTGCAAATTGTATGTAGTTTGTGTGTATTAGCGGTTTTAGTTAGTTAGAAAATGTGTAAACATAAATACACAGTTTGACCAATTCATACGTCATTAATAGTGGTTCACTTCTGTGATTTAGTACGTTTGCGTTCACATCAGAAGCGAACCGTACCCCAAACCACCCTTTTCCGGCAAACTCGAACTCTTAAATATTAAATAACAGTGCCTGTATGAGTTTACACAACACTTTCTCTTATCTTTTTTTTTTTTATCTTGCAGAGACTTGTCCAAAAACCTGATCGGCTGCCTCCATGTGGACGTCTTCAAAGGCCTCACAAACCTTGTTAAACTGTAAGTCATGATTTTTTTTTTCTACTATATGAACTTGAAATGGAGAATTCTTTAAAATACCGTTAATGTAGGTTATTTATAAACAAGTGTTGGGGAAAGTTACTTTTGAAAGTAATGCATTGCAATATTGCGTTACTCCCTAAAAAGTAACTAATTACTTTTTTACTTAGTTAGTTACTTAGTTACTTTTTATGGAAAGTAATGCATCGCGTTACTTTTGCGTTACTTTTTCTCATCTGGGCTGGGCTTGCTTGTTTGTTTTTAATATTAAAAAAATATATTTTTGTCAAATGTAAAAGCCCTTTCACAAGTTTTACTTATTAGTATGGTCGAATTGGATCATCGGAGGTTAGCAGCAAAGACAGAAATGGGATTAAATACATAAAGGATATTTGTGCTATTTAACATTTAATTGCTGGTTTGCGTCATATTCTGAGTTTGCATTTGAGTAAATGCATCTTCACATTTAATCTAGAGTAATCTAAGAACAGAAGAGCTGTCAGTCAGTAAATGGGAAAACAAAGTAACTGGTGTTACTTATTTAAAGTAATTTGTTACTTTACTAGTTACTTGAAAAAAGTAATCTGATTACGTAACTCACGTTACTTGTAATGTGTTACGCCCAACACTGTTTATAAGTATTGTAAGGCACATTCATAACAACAAAAATTCACATTCTTTTAGTGTAAAATGAATCCAGCAATACACATTTCACACACTTTATACTAATCTGTCCACTTATCAGTCCATCCGTCTGTCTGTCTGTTTATCTGCTGATATTCATATTAGATTGCGATGATGAGAACACAAAAGTCATTGGTGGTGTTTGGCTGAGACTCATTAGCCTGATTACCCTTCACAGAATGCTAAAGCTCGTAACAGGTGTTGTTATATGATGAGTGTGTTAACGATGACGTCGCACGAGCGCAGGGACAGCTGCTGGATTAACAGTGAGCGTCGTCTTCACCTGCTGAAGGTGAAGATTAGAACTGATCCAGTCATTTCAATTAAGACAGCAGCTGAAACTCAACAGATTTCACCAGATCAACAGATGTGATGTCAAGGGTGTACAGGACAGATTGAAAACATAAACTCTTTGTAATGAGGCTTTTTAGTTTAATATGTTAATGCATCCCACTTGAATAAATGGGACCAGAATTAGGCTTGCCGCGATAGACGGTGCTGACGGTGAATACCGTTAAGCCGCAACACCGGTTACGTCACTTGCCCACCGCGTCACCGACCCCCACCGTCGTTTTAATTTTTTATAGTAATAAAATTAATTTAGTTCAGTAAAAGAACAGACACTACGATTAAAAACTGAACGCGGCTGCTCAATGCAGCGTGCCGAACGACAGTCGCATCACAGATCAGATTTAATTTATCCAGTGAGGAGAGTGAGTCGAGCTGACTGACAAGAAGAGTGAGGTGAGACAGACAAGACGATGGCGGATGATTTAGTTTCGAAACGAGATGCAAAAGCGCCTGTTTGGCAATATTTTGGATTTTGAAAAGCCTGTTGACTTTTGCCATTTATCTAAGGTGATTTTGGAAGTTTTTTTTAAACATTCGTTTCTTATTTAATTGGTTCCACATTGTTTGCTGATTTTTAATTTATTTAAACTTTGTGTCATTTATTTATTTATTTTTTACATCAAGGTGTATGACGT